AAATATGTAAAAATAAACTATTATAAAATTAAAAAATATTTCTCCACCAATTTCATGGGTGAAGAACAGTATCTCATGAGAGCAAATCTGACCTTTCTAAAAGCACATCTGATCATAAGCCTTCAATGCCTGCAGCATGAAGTCCAAATTCTGGTCGGCATTGAAGCTTATGGCATGGCAGGTTTGCTCTGGTGTCACAGAGGGCTGAGTCTCCTGGAGCTGTGAGGCTGAGCTCCTCTCCTCTGTGCCTCTGTTCTGAGCAAAGCAGGAAGGGCTATGGAAGCAGTGGGGACTGAGGGCTGTTCATTGAGCTCTCAGGAAGGGAAGAGGGAAGCGGCTGAGCCCCAGGAATGAGCAGTTATGGAGGACCCTGTGGGTGGACTGTGGTGATACAGAGCAGTCTACCCAAGCCAGGCGAGGCCTGGGCGCCGACCAGGGAGGCTGCTGTGTTGCTTTTAAGGGGAAGTGGGGGGAATTCAGGCTCTGGACTACCTGGGCTGATTGGTGTCCCTGTGATCAGTGTCCTGGTGGCTGTACAGGTCAGGAAATTGTGGACTCTAGAGCTGCTCATCGCTTCTACCATCACCTTCCAGGGTCACCAGGCCAGCTCCAGCTCAGCTCTGCCCAGAGTAGGGAAGGATCCAGCCTCTGCCATTATCACGGTTGTTTATTCATTTAAGAGACTACATGGGGGCCCTCCCTGGTGGCACAATGGGTTAGGATGTAGTACTGCAAGTTAGCCACAGCCTCTTTGGTGCAACTTTGTGCCCAGCCCCGGAGGTGACCCGCATGGCACGGCAGACCTCTCCTGTCCTGCCCGCTGCTCCCCTTAGCAGTGTACTTCATCAGTCGCCTGTTCTGCTCCCCACTCTGTCTCTGGTGAATCCTCTCACCGCCCCTGCACCACTGACTGTACCCCAATCTGTATGCATATATAAATCTTTTATTTTTTTTTAAAAAAAAAAGAAAGAAACTGCATGGGGCCTGGGGTTTGACAGGGCTGGATCTTGGGCCAGAGTGGAATCTGACACTGTCCAATCTGGCTTCTGTAGCAGGAGGAGCACAGGAGAGGTGTCAAGAGGGAGGATTCCTGGTGGAGGTGGCATCTGAGCTGGGTCTCGAAGGTCAGGCAGTCCTCTTGCAAACGGAGCTACAGGCCAGGGTGGGGACTGTTTTGTGAAAAGAACTAAGAAAGCCTAGAGCTGGGTAGTGCAGGTAGCACTTTATTCACACTGGGCTGGCGCATGTGACTGGAGGAGGGAGATGGGCCAGAAAGCTGGAGTCTTGGTCAGGGCCAACATGGCCAGCTTGTGAGGACTTGATTGTCCCTTGTCCTAAGAGTAGTGGGAAGCCTTTAGGGCTCTTGTGAGGAGAGTGACCCACCACCTCAGAGGGGCTCACTCTGGATGCACTTCGGAGGGTAGATTGGCAGGAAGAATAAGACTGAAGTCTTGGCAAAACAGGAGGTGCAGGGCCCTCCCTGGTGTCTCAGCAGGTTAAAGCACAGCACTAAGAAGCTAAAGCCCCTTCAGAGTGAGTTCGATCCCCACCCGCCTTGGAGGTGACCACATGGCACTGCAGACCTCTCCTGACCAGCCTGCTGCTCCCCTCAGCTGTGTACTTCATCGATCTGCCTATTCTGCTCCCCACTGTCTGGTGAATCCTCTCACTGCCCCTGCACCTCTGGCCTGTACCCCAGTTCTGTATGAGTAAATAAATCTTAAAAAAAACAAAACCAACCAAACAAAAAAAATAGGAGGTTCAGCT